TTTTTATTGATGTGCAGATGAAATTTTATGTTGAAGTATATCACTGCTAAAAATTCATTTTTTTTATAAAATATTATTGGTGATCTTTCACATGGTTCATAACATGTGACTCTTTGTTTTTTATGACATTTGATATATTTTATAACCATCACCCTAAGGGTGTGTTGAATTGTAGAATACATTCAAATGGGAGTACTGTAAAATATTATATATGACATTTCACATGAATTATGGATGATCTTTCACATGGTTCATAACGTGTGACTCTTTGTTTTTCATGACCTTTGATGTGTTATATAACCATCACACTAATATGTGTTGAATTGTAGAATACATCCAAGGGGGTATTGTAAAGTATTATGGATGACATTTCATATGGATTATGGATGATCTTTCACATGGTTCATAACATGTGATTCTTTATTTTTCATGACATTTGATGTATTTTATAACCATCACACTAATGGTACGTTGAATTGTAGAATACATGCAATGGGAAGTATTGTAAAATATTATTGGTGGCCTTTTACATGGTTCATAACATGTGGCTCTTTATTTTTCATGACCTTTGATATATTCTACGATCATCATACTAATGGTGTGTTGAATTGTAAGAATGTTCATTAACCGATCCAAACCGTGGTGATCGAACCAAAAATCGATAACCGAATTAATCGAAAACTGAAAAACCAAAAACAAAGAAAATGCATACTTTAATTGGATTGGGTCGATTTTCGGTTTGGTTGGTGAAAACCGATAGAATCCAAACTGATCAAATGTATTATGTATTTAATATTTTTGAAAAATAGTGACTTGAAATCTTGTTGTTTTGTAGACTTGGAATCTTTGATGTTATAGATAGCAAACTATCTTGTTTTAGTTTTTGATTGTCTATTAATCTATTTTAATTCTTCATGAGTTTTAAGACTTGTTTTAGTTTGAAGACTTGTTTTAATTTGAAGACTTGAATTTTTCAGTGGTTTGTAACTTTGAATGACTTTATTTTGGCATACCTAATAATTTGTATGGCTGGAATTTTAGGATTTTTGAAAAACCGAAAATGGATCCAATCCAAACCAAATAAAATTGGATTGGATCAGATCAGATTTAAAAATAAAAATCCAAACTGAATGGATGATTAAATAATCAAACCCAAGCGATTGGATTGAATGATTTTTGCTTTAAAACCGATCCGATCTAGGCCGCGAACACCTCTATGAAATTGTAAGTATTCCCCTAATTATGTTTAGAGTCCTATATAAGGATATATCTTATATGGAAAAAATGATACTTGGTGAATTCAGAATATAATAATATTTTCTTACCATCAAGAGCTCATATTTGTTCTTATCTTATTCTTCCTTTGATTTTCTTTCTACATTTCATTTTCTTTTCTTTCATACTTCACTTTCTCTTATAGGCCTGTTTGGTGTGATGTATATGGCCTAATAGTATAAGTTTATACAATACGTTATGACATTTTTAGTTGTATGGTGTCACCATTATATAGTATAGCTTATACAACAGAATCCCTTAATACATCAAAACGATGTATAACTTAATCCGGCTTAAGGGCCTGTTTGGTGTGACGTATAAGGCATGAAAGTATAAGCTTATACTATACGTTATGACATTTTCAGCTGTTTGGTGTAACCATCGTATAGTATAAGCTTATACAACATAATCCCTTAATACATCAAAATGATCTATAACTTAATCCGGCTTAAGGGGGAGGATTAGGCCTGATAAGAGATTAATGTATTAACATTGTTGACCAGTGCAATTCTAAAAAATTAATATATTATTTTAATATTAATATATTAAAATAAAAATTAATTTTTCAATATATTAAATTTTAAAATATTGAAGATTTTTATTTTTATAAAAATTAATTAATGTTTTGGACACACTCATCAATAAATTTTTATAAAAATTAGTATCATAGGACATTTTTTGAAGAATTATATAAATTCTTTATTAAAGGATATTTTAATTAAAATTATTTATTTTTATCCTATATAGTATTATACAGTGTACCAAATATTAGATGATATTATTTTTATACAATATATTATTTTATACAATATCATGTCAAACGTTGGATAGTATTAAAATTCAATCAGGTCTTATACAATAAGGCATTATACTATCAGGCCTTATCCTATACTATGCATCAAACATGCCCTAAGAGGAAGGGATTAGGCCTGATAAGAGATTGATGTATTAACATCGTTGACCAGTGCAATTCTCAAGAATTAATATATTATTTAATATTAATGTATTAAAATAAAAATTAATTTTTCAATACATTAATTTTTAAAATATTGGATATTTTATTTTATAAAAATTTTATTTTTTGGATATGATGATCAATAGATTTTTATAAAAATTAATATTATATGATATTTTTAGAAGAATTATATAAAATCTTTATTAAAGGATATTTTTGTTAAAAATATTTTTTTTATCTTATTTAGTATTATACAGTGCATTATCAAATACTAGATGATATTATCTTATACAATATATTATTTTAAACAATACCTTGCCAAACGCTGGATAGTATTAAAATTCAATTAACTCTTATACAATCAGGCCTTATACTATCAAGTCTTATACTATCATGCCTTATCCTATACTATGCATCAAACATGCCTATATTCTCCATTAAATTCACAATAATTTTTACTTATATTATATTTATAAATATTTAAATTATATAGTTTTTAGTTTTTTTATAATAAAAATTTTGATGAAAGAAAAAATTTGACCCGGAGACCAACCCTAACCCAACTCGCTAAATTATAGGACTTTGAAGGTTAGGGTTAAAAATAGCCCTACCACAAAAAAGCCCTAATCTAGGGCTTTGCAGGTTGGCCCGCGGTCTTTAACTCATTTTGACACATCTATTTTTTATTTTATTTTTATAACAATTTGACACCTCTATTAACTGTAATTTTAGGGGGATGTATTGGATTGGTATTTCAAAGGATTTTAATAGATTATTTTTGGACAAAAAAATCCATTAGTATTCAATTAGGATTTTAAAGGATTGAAAAAAAGTCATGTGGTATTCGATTAGGATTTTAAAAGATTATTTTAGAGTCCATCCAAAACCGTTGGTATTCAATCAGAATTTTAAATAAAGGAAAAACAATCTTGTGGTATTCAAAAATCTTACGATTTTAATGGATTTTCTATTAGCGTGGATTTCGCGAGACTTTTTTAGTGAGAAATATAAATATGATGTCTCTCTCACAATCTCACCCTAACCCCTAGGATTTCTTAAGATTTCTCTATTGCAGTGTCTTTTTCTTCTTTGGGTGGGTTGACCCACTCGAAACCGAGTTTCGCCATGAGAGCTTCGTCAAAGCTCAAAAACAACAGATTTTTGAACTATTTTCATCACAAAATAATTCAGAAACAACAATCCAACAAGATTTTGAAATAATTTTTGAAAGTTTAAAAATGATTTTTCGAGCTATTGGTCATGATTTTTCTTGGTACGAAAATGCGTGATTTTTGTATTAAAAGCAACATAAAATAGTGGAAAACAACATGGGAACAAAAATCCCCCAAACCAATTTTCATTTTACATCAATGAAAAAAGATCGATTTAAAGAATGATTGAAACTTTCATAATATGAACTTTATGTTTCATAATAATATATTCGTGAACGAAATTCTTTCGTTATAGGAAATGATTTCAAACAATTTTTGTATCAATAGATCACTAAAACTTGCTTTTCAAAAACCGCAATTTAAGATTTCAATGTATTGATTGAAAACAATTTGAGAAATTTTCTAAACTTTCATGTAAAAAAATTCAGAAATTCAGATTCAAAATTTTCTTAGAATACTCAAGGAAAACATGTATATAATATATTGTTAGAAAACTCTCATCGTGTAGAACAAAAACCCTAAGGTTTACAAGATCAATTGCAAAAAATTTCAAACGAAAATTTATCATGAATTTTACTAATTGAGAAAATTATATTACGTTTTACTTTTTTTTATTAATATCATTGCATTTCTTTGTTAACTTTTTTTATTGACTCTTGTAATTTTTAATGTTTGTTAAAAATTCATATGATTTTTTAAAATCTTATAAATTCATATTGTCCTTTCAAATCTTATAAATTCTATTAAAATCCTTTAAAATCCAATCTTATAAAATCTTAATTGTAAAAAAAATCTTTTAAAAAAGTATTTAAAGTCTCTCCAATTCTAAATAATCTTTTAAAATCTATAAAAAAAATTATCTCAAAAAGTCTTTTAAAATCCTAATCCAATACATCCCCTTAAAAGACAATGAATTATTTCATATTTAAATCAAACCTCAATAAGGGATGAAAATAGAGACTTCCAAATGGGTTGTTGAACCAAAATAGACCAATTATTTTGGTTTACACTGTCATTATCTTATGTTTTAATTATTTGCTTTTAGAATTTGATTGGATGAAAATAAAAATGTTTTAGTTGTATATCTACCAACCTATTAAGTATGCTTGACGAAAGCTTAGTGGCGATGTTATGGTTTAAAACCGCAAGCGATAATCGTAAAGGAAAAAGTATTTATTTTAAATTTTAAAATGTAAAATAATATATTTTTGGAAAAAAAAAATCTGTTCAAGGTAAAAGCGATAACTGATTTTTTTTTTTTCAACACTATTATCTAATGTACACTTTTTCCATTATCAAATTTTGTTTATACATGCAAGTTAATTTAATATTCTCCATGCCATCGTCCCGTCTATGAAAAAGAACAGAAACACAATAATCGCATTTGGATGTTTTCGTCCTATATGTTGGAAATCAACAATCACACAGAATCGAGAAAACAGAAAAAGAGATAAGAGTAGAGAGATTGACACGATTATTTACCCTGGTTCACCCAATATAAGCTACGTCCAGCTTGTCTGTACTATATTCACCTCACCGCCACTCGTTACAAGTCTCTCGGTTTACAAGGCAAATATAAATAGAATTACAAGAAACCCTAACAGCAGCTATTCATGGGCCCAAGCTCAAACTGCTAAGAAAATTACAATAGAAACAGAGGCCTAAACATTACCTAGCCTCTACGGGCCTGGGGGCGCTGCCCCCCGGACCCCTGCCCGCTCACCTGGGAGCGGGACCCCAGTTGCCTTTTTGCTGACCCCGACAATTAGGGCCAACATCATCATGTGAAGTATGAGCCATACCCAACACTATACACATCAGCGCGGTTATGTTCGGGTGTCTTGGCAGGAACACCTTTAATCTTAAGCAGTAGTGATCCTCAGATTGTTGACTGTCAAGGACGTCCATTTTACAATCTACACCCGTGTAGTTTAGAAATATAACGCACTACAGCTAACAATTAACAGGGGCAAAATTCCAGATAATGGGAGCCAGGAACCATACCATAAGGATTGCATTCCTTCAACTTGAAGGTGGCGGCATGCCAGGGTTATTGAGAGGTGGTGGTGGCATTGAGGACTGAGGATATGCCATAGGCCGCCCGCCTTGTTGCTGAGGTGGGGGTGGCGGTCGCCAAATAGGTGGTGGTTGGCTTGCCATTACCGTTGGCGGTGGAAGAGGCCTTGGAGGAGGCGGAACAGCTTGTGAAGGTGGTGGCATCTGCATACTAGAGTGAGGTGGCCTAAACTGCTGGATTTGATGTGGAGGCATTACAGGTTGTAGCATTGCTTGACCTAGCGGTTGTTGATTCCATGCTGGTTGTCCAGCTACCGGCATTGGCTGGAATGCTACGGCCTGAGGGGGTGGCGAACGGAGAGCAGGAATATGAGCTGGAGCAACCCCATTAGCGAAGGGGCAGGGAGGCACTGGAGCAGCAATGGTACCATTAGCCAGAGCAACATTGGGAAGTGTTGGAGGCCCACTGGAAAATAAAATACCAGAGCAGCAATGGTATCAACCCTAACTTATTAAACTAAGCATACTACTCCCTGATATAACACTAGTTATTGTAACATCCCCCTTACATCTAATTTAAGGTTAAAGTTAACAGAACTAAATAAACAACCTATGTAATAGGAAAAACAAACATAATTATCCAACTCTTATTAATTTCTCTAAAATTCTCAAATTCCTCCAAGTGTTAGGTTGTTCCCTGTTTTAGTTTCACGGTGCCAGAAAAACAATAGTCTGCGTCTTTCCCCAATTTTTGAATACCTCTTCAGCACGTAAAATAGCACCATTTCCTTTTTCATTTTGTTTTGTTTAAAGTTTAAACTAGAGAAGACAGGAAATGTTGGAAAGCTGTCATTGATTGTTCCAACAAATCATCCGTCTAGTGTAAGAATATTGAATTTTGATAGGATCAATAAATTGTGGTACTCTACTATCTTTACTGTTTTCGTTTGTTAATGGTACAATTTTTTTTTTACATATCTTATAATTTGTATCTGATTTAGTTTAAAATACAGGATCTTATAACCCCAGTGAGTTTATGATTTGATAAAAGGATGTCCCCCTCCCACCCATATATATATATTTTTTCGTTCTTGAGTGTTATATACTTCAGAGAGTTAGTTTCTATTTTCGATTATTTGATACCTGTACAAATACATTTATATATAGTTACTGTACTAGCTATTATTTTTCAAAAATTGAGTTATTGATCAAAGCATAAGATGACTCTAAGATACCCTCAAGACTTTTTGAAGTTTTGGGTGAAATCACAAAAGATGTATAAGTAAAAAGTGGAATGATATGCGTTAGTAAGGTGTCAGTATAATCAAAGGTCAAATGGAGATTATAGTAAAACAGTATGCCGTCCTACTCTCTTTTAACTTTGGATAATGGAAAAAACACTAAGGCTATGTCTGGATAGATGGAAAGGGACAGAATGGAACAGAATTACATCAACTGTCATTGTTTGGATTGTTTAGAGATGCAATGGAATGGAACCACATAGAATGTATTCCATCCATCCAATAACTTTATTTCTCCTTCCCCCACCGGGGGCATGGATTGGAACCACTCTATATAGTAAAAGAAAAGTTATAAGTCTTAACATTTCACCCATTTCGCAAACAATGGAATGGAGACTTCCATTTATTCCATCATAAAATATCCAAACAACGGCATGGTAATTTTATTCCATTTCATGCCATTCCATTCCACTCATCATTATGTATCTAGAGTCCAAACATAGTTGAAATGTCTAAAGTTAGTCATGCATAAAACTCACAATTAAAATTAATGATTTATTTAATATTAGTTATTGTTTGTTAGGGTCATTTGCTACACACATAAATTTAGAAGTGCATTATGGTGGGAAGATAAGAGGACGAGTCTAGAGCAGAGGTAAAACTGCTTCTTCGTGAACGAGAAGTCACACATTTCATGGAGTGTGGTTTATTATGGTGGGAAGATGACATTACTGAGTATAAGGATGGCAATATGGTTAGATTGGATGGAGAGGAAGTTGAGGAGCTAGATTACTTTTAAGTTATTAGACATGCTAACTAAGTATTATTCACATAGGAATCCAGTTTAATACTTGATACCTGGATGTGATTTTTGATGTAGATTAAAGCTTCTATCATATGATATTGATGTGTACGCATGATTAAGCTGCATAGAGAGTATAGCAATGACATGGTGTCACCTATCTATATGACAATGTTTTAAAAGTTGACACAATTATTGGTAGTTTCTTTCAAGTTCCTACCGCTGGAAAGAGTAATTATGATGGTGATTGTGAAGTTGAGGAAGAAGTAGGACATTACTTATATCACATGGCAGTTTAGTTTATTCTGTTGAAGTTAACAGTTAAATTAGATGGAAGGGAGTATTTACAATAAGTTATGTTAAAAGGAGTAATTTGCCTAATTCAATAAATGAGGGAGAAAAAAGCAACTTAAGTAATAAATGAAGGGGGAAAAGTGTAATTGAACCAAAAAAATAAATGGAAATAAATATAATATAAGTATGGACATTTGAGTATAGACTATTTGCAACTGTTTCGAGCCACAAGAAAAATACAGTTGAAATGAGAAATATGGAATCTGTTTATATCCGAAAGAGCAGAATAAGTGTAACAAAATAATGAAAGGTTGACCTGATACTACATTCCTACAAATGATGACTTAGGCATACCTCAATAGCTGAATTGGATGCCTCAAATGAATCATAGCTAATGAAGCCAAAACCACGGGAAATTCCTGACTCAGGATCTCTCATGATCTGCAACAAAAAGCCCTGAACATCAGATCATATGCATAATTTTGGGTGAAGTCAATCCATCTAGGGATGGAGGGTTGAGACAGCTAAAGAAGTATATTTTGCTTCAAAATATATTCGATGAAATATGAGATAGAAACAATAGCCATTTACAAATATATATGCCACATAAATGGGATAGTGGAAGAGTTGATGAAAAATAAATATGTTAATTTCAGGTAATAAGAGACGGTAAACATATGGGAATTGTTAACCCAGCCATATATGAAGTTATTGTCATCTGCTTGATACAATAAATTATTTGGAATAATGGACCAAACAGTAATGCCCATAATGAGAAATAAGAAAATGGAGAAGCATGAAAAGTATTAGTAATTGCTACTAACCAGATACTGTTACGTAGTGACACAAACATGATGCTATTGATGTAATGAAAGATATTAAGCGAACAAAACCTTTGGATTAGTAACAATAACTCCAAATGCACTGAAAGCATCATACAAGAGCTTCTCATCTACATCCTGCAGCAACATCAGGAACAGTCATGTTAAATCTCAAAGCTCAACACATGAGCTTGTTAAACACTCGCATAATTTGGTGACTTACAGAATCAAGTTGGGATGCCTGGAACCAAAAAATAGTAAAATCATACTCTTTAATAAAGTAGCATGGATGTTAATTTCTCTTTGATCAAGTGACATGGACATTGATGTAAGATTGAAATACAGCAGGACTTGAACAGAGTACAACAAAGTTCCTAAAAACAAAAGGTAAATATGATAGATTAATTAACATGTGGAGAAAAAAGATATTCAATTATAAGAGTGAATGATATCTTGGAATGACACACAATAAGGGTTGGGAAAAATAAAAGATAAATATTACATATTAGTACTTAAAACACAATTGGTGTCTTTTTCCTGTTTGCTTTCCAAAAAAAAAAAAACACAATTGGTGTACAAGAATGCTGATTCCATTCTTGCATACCTTCCGTGGAACGAGGATACCTATGTTTAGTACAAGAAAAAAGACATGGAAAGTTAATTCCATTATACGGCTCTAAGCCTAGACTCCTCAGAGACAAGAACTGACATTCGATCCGAAAGTGGTGGTAACGGAGATTCTTGGCAACAATGAATCAGTTGATGCTTTGTTTCCTTATTTATCATGATTAATACTTTCATTCCACACGCAAACATATAATTAATATGATTCCACTCAAAAGAGAACCAAGTGCGCGCTCACACATAGAGGGAGAGAGAGAAGACAAAAGTCACGGTATAAGCTTCATATGGAATACCTTATTTACACGTATTGGTTTTCCATAGAGTTTAATCATGTTAAGCACCTTGATGGCCTGCAATGGAAGAAAAAGAATAGCAAATAGTCAAACATTAGTCAGCAGCTGCTAGCTTTAGAGAGGTTGCATGTGTGATTTGCAAATAAATGGCCAGAGTTTTCGAGAACACTTACATAGTCAGCATCTTCTTCAGTCCGGAATTCAACAAATCCATAACCTTGATGTTGGGTGGTCACTCTGTCTTTTGGAACATAGACATTTACTGAAACAAATGGAAGGAAAAAAAGCTTATATCTAACCCTGAAATATCTAAGAAAATCAATCACAATAACAATTTCGTTCCAGATGATGAGACATACCCACTGGACCTGCCTGAACAAACAGCTCCGACAATAACTCCTCAGTTATCTGATAGCAGGCAGCACCAAGAAAATCAGTTAAGCGTGTTTGGTTTGGGTGAAGGGTTTGTGGACAGGAGGAAGCATAGAGAAAGTACTAAATAAGAACCTGAGGGTCCAGATTTCCAACATAAGCAGTAGCATCTTGATTCCTCTCCGCTGAGTGTTGACCCAACAAATTTGCTCCCACACCAGGTATCTCCTTTTTGTTGGGAACTCGGTTCCCTCAAGCTCGGCTCAGGGGCCTTTGCGGAAGTCAGTCAATGAGATCCTGATCTCGGATCTCGGCAATACCTCGGCCTGAACTTCAACAGGTCGGGCAGCGCAGCGAAAAATCAAAACGAAAAACGGGAGAGAGAGAGAACACAAGCAATTTTAACGTGGGAAAACCTTCTCCAATGAAGAAGTAAAAACCCACGGGACCTAGTCCAGATAAAAAATCCACTATGAAAATAATGGTTACAAAGAATCAAAATACACCAATGTGGTGGTTAACTCAACCTCTCCAACAATGGTGATAATCAAACCTCCCTAGAGATGTTTCACTCAAACTCTCTCTAGAGATCCCTCAAATACAAAGCATAAAGCTTTGCTCAAACAATTTTCTCTCAAATATCAAATCTCTCTCATCTTAACCTAGCCTCCACCCTCAACTAATGAATATATAGAGGAGGTGGAATTTAGGGTTTAAGGTTTAGGGTTTTTGGGAAACCCCTCAATGGGCTTGGGCTTAGCATTGAAGGAGGAAGCCCAACAAATCTCACCCTCCGACTTCAATGCGTCGGCTTCAGCATCAACCCGGCTCCTTCAAAACAGTCTTCAAATTTTCTTGTTGGAACCGACTTCTTCATCATGTCGGACCAATTTTGGTCAGTGTGCACTTTGACGAGTTCTCGCTCTCCACCTTTTACCACATCCCGGATCCAGTGATATCTCACATCAATATGCTTAGTGCGGGAGTGATAGGTCGAATTCTTCGTAAGATGGATTGCGCTTTGATTGTCACAACCCAGCTCGTACTTGTCTTGATCATGGCCGAGTTCCATGAGAAACTTCTTCATCCACAGCATCTCTTTGCTTGCCTCAGTAGCGACAATGTACTCAGCCTCAGTTGTCGATAGTGCAAAACATTTCTGAAGTCTTGATTGCCAGGAGACAGCTCTTCCGGCAAATCTCATCATGTATCCCGTCGTCGATTTCCTCGAGTCAGAATCTCCCCCTAAATCAGAATCCGAGTAGCCTTGCAACTCGGCTTTGCCTTCTCCAAATCGGAGACATAAATCGGTCATACTTCGGAGGTACTTGAAGATCCACTTCACTGCTTCCCAGTGTTCTTTGCCGGGGTTTGACAGATATCGGCTTACCATTCCAACAGCATATGCCAAGTCGGGTCTAGTGCAAACCATTGCATACATCAAGCTTCCGACGGCGGATTGGTACGGGACCTTCATCATCTCATCTTTGTCTTCATCAGATCTTGGACATTGCTTCTGGTTCAGCTTTATATGTCCGGCTAAGGGGGTGCTCATTGTTTTGGCTTTGTCTATGCTGAATCTCTTCAGAATCTTCTCAATATACTTCTCTTGACTCAGCCACAGTAGCTTCTTTTGTCTATCTCGGATAATCTTGATTCCGAGAATCTGCTTTGCAGGGTCGAGGTCCTTCATTGCGAAGGACGAGCTTAACGCCTTTTTCAGGGCGGATATTCTCGATTTGTCTTTCCCTACAATAAGCATGTCCTCAACATATAACAACAATATCAGAAAATCTCCGGCCTCATACCTCTTCACAAATACGCAGTGGTCGGCTTCTGTCTTCTCAAACTTATGATCAGTCATGAATGATTCAAACTTCTTGTATCACTGCCGAGGTGCTTGCTTCAAGCCATAGAGGCTCTTCTTCAACCGACATACCAAGTCTTCTTGGTCTAGAGCTCAGAACCCTTCAGGTTGCTCCATATAAATTTCTTCTTCTAAATCACCGTGAAGAAATGCCATCTTCACCTCCATTTGTTCTACCTCGAGGTCCATTGAAACCGCCATGGCTAATACAATTCGGACCGAGGTCATTTTCACCACAGGAGAAAAAATCTCCTCAAAGTCTACTCCTTTCTTCTGATTGCAGCCTTTCACTACAATCCGGGCTTTGTATCTCGGCTTCAGCCTAATCTTGTAGACCCATTTATTCTTCAGAGCTCGTCTTCCTTCTGGAAACTCGGTCAGCTCATAAGTCTGATTCTCATGCAGAGACTTCATCTCGTCTTGCATTACCTTTTCCCATTCTTCTTTCTCTAAGCTCGTCACAGTCTCATCATAACTCTGAGGCTCATCGTCTTCAGCAACAACGGTGTATTCATCAGATGGGTATCTTGTAGAGGGTCTTCTTTCTCGAGTTGGATATCTCGGTTGTTCTTCAGCTTGAGAACCCGGTTCATCATTCTCATCCTGGATCTCATCATCAACTCAGACCTCAGTGTCTTGGTCATCATCAGCATGTTGCTGGTCGTCATCATCTTCATTATTTTCTTGATTTTCTCCCCCTGCTTCAGCTCGGACAGGAGGGATGGGTTCTTCACGTCTGACAGTAACTCGAACTTTAGGCTTCGAGATGTCATGAATGTTCTCATCTTCATGAAAGATCACATCTCGGCTTCTCACTATCTTCTTATTGATTGGATCCCAAAGTCGGAACCCGAACTCACATCTCGGCGAACCAAGATAAATGCATTCTTTAGTCTTCCCATCAAGTTTTGCCCTTTCATCTTTAGGGATATGCACGAAAGCTCGGCATCCAAACACCTTCAGTTGATTATAGGCCGTTTTCCGACCTGTCCAGACTTCTTCTGGAATTTCTCCTTCAAGTGGTCGTGATGGTGAGAGGTTGATCAAGTCAACAGCAGTTCTGACGGCTTCTCCCCAGAATGATTTCGGCAATCCGACATTGGATATCATACTTCGGACCTTCTCTTCAATAGTCATGTTCATCCTCTCAGCAAGTCCATTCAGCTGTGGAGTCTTGGGAGGCGTCTTCTCAAGTCGGATCCCGGTCGCTCTGCAATATGCATCAAATGGGCCGCAATACTCACCACCATTATCAGATCGGACCACCTTCAATTTATTGTCTGTCTCCCTTTCAACCATTGCATGGAATTCTTTAAAGGATTGGAGTACCTGGTCTTTAGACTTCAACAAATAAACCCACACTTTGCGGGAATGGTCATCAATAAATGAGACAAAGTACTGAGCTCCTCCAAGGGATCTTTCCGATATGGAGCAGACATCAGTATGGACGAGGTCAAGAATATACTTGCGTCGTCTAGGTTGATCAGGTCTCACAAAAGAAACCCAGTGCTGCTTTCCAGCTAGGCAGTGCGTGCAACTATCCAACGCTTGGCCTTTCAACCCGGTCAGTAATCCTTTCTAGTTCAGGATTTGGAGCCCTTTCTCGCTCATGTGGCCGAGGCGCTTGTGTCATAGCTCCAAGCTAGGTTCATCTCGGACATAATTGGCTTCTTCGTCATTAATATTTCCTTGCATCACGTACAAGGATCCTTCCTTCTTACCTCGGGCCACGACCAAGTTTCCCTTGGCCAGCTTCCATCTAACACTACCGAAGTAGTTCACTAACCCGGCATCGTCAAGTTTGCCTACCGAGATTAGGTTCAATCGCATGTCAGGTACATGCCTCACATCTTTCAACACAAGTCGGCATCCGACATCTGTGGTCAGGGTTACATCACAGACACCAACAATCTTGCTGGTCACCTGATTTCCCATCTTCATGACTCCAAAATCACCACCTCGGTAAGAGGAGAAAAAACCTTTGTGTTGAGTAACGTGGAAGGTGGCACCGGAGTCAACAATCCAAGTGCAGTCATCATAGGCAACATTCAAATAATTATCCTCACCTAGGAGGAATATCTCGGCATTCGAGTTAGCAGCCACCACAGTGGTGCTCTTGTCTTCCCTCTTCTTGGGAACAATCTGATCCGGCTTCACAGAGCCGTTCTTCTCATCATTCTAAAAAGTCCAGCAGTCTGGCTTCTTATGACATGTCTTTCCACAGTAAAAGCACTTCAACTCATATCTCGGCTTTGACCGACCTCTGGACTTTCCTCTTCTATCACGATCTCGACCTCGACTCTTGCTTCTACCCCGAGAGTCGGATTTCCCTCTGTTCTCAGCAATGTTGGCCTCAGACGTGCTAGAAATACCTCGTTCTCTTCTCTTGGCTTCTTCGCACAGGAGGCTGTCTGTCACGACATCCGTCTTCAATTTTCCATCTGGAGTCGAATTATTCAAGGTTACCACCAGAGTATCTCAGCTTTCTGGTAGCGAGCTCAACAACAGCAAGGCCTGCATCTCGTCATCAATTTTCATATCAGCCTTTGACAGCTGATTCACAATACCTTTGTAGGTGTTGAGGTGTTCAATCATGCTCATGCCATCCTTGGATTCCAACTTCACAAGTCGGCGAACCAGGTGTGCTTTGTTCCTGGGAGTTTTCTTTTGAATCATGGACGCCATCTTCGTCGACAACTCATACACGTTCGTGAACTCGGACACGTGCTCAAAGAGGCTCTTGTCAATATATTTTCTTATTGTAGCTACCGCCTTACGACTCTGGATCTCCCACTCCTTATCGGTCTTGCCTACCGGTCTCTCATCAAGGATAGTGGGCTCATGTAGATCTTTGCAGTAGAGATGATCTTCCATCATCGGTCTCCAATAAGTGAAATTGTCTGCGGTCAGCTTCAACATTGGTTATGCCACTGGTCTCCATCTCGTCTCCCTCAGAACCCGTCGAACTCGGGCTCTGATACCACTGTTGGGAACTCAGTTCCCTCAAGCTCGACTCAGGGGCCTTTGCAGAAGTGAGTCAATGAGATCCTGATCTCGGATCTCGGCAATACCTCGGCTTGAACTTCAACAGGTCGGGCAGCGCAGCGGTAAATCAAAACGAAAAACGAGAGAGAGAAGGAGAGAGAGAGAGAACACAAGCAATTTTAACATGGGAAAACCTTCTCCAATGAAGAAGTAAAAACCCACGGGACCTAGTCCAGATCAAAAATCCACTATGAAAATAATGGTTACAAAGAATCAAAATACATCAATGTGGTGGTTAACTCAACCTCTCCAACAATGGTGATAATCAAAGCTCCCTAGAGATGTTTCACTCAAACTCTCTCTAGAGATCTCTCAAATACAAAGCATAAAGCTTTGCTCAAACAATTTTCTCTCAAATATCAAATCTCTCTCATCTTAACCTAGCCTCCACCCTCAACTAATGAATATATAGAGGAGGTGGAATTTAGAGTTTAAAGTTTAGGGTTTTTGGGAAACCCCTCAATGAGCTTGGGCTTAGCATTGAAGGAGAAAGCCCAACACTTTTATTATCCAATCTTACAGTACTAGTGTATGCTTCTATAACAGAGAAATGTCATACCTAGTTAATGGCTATACAGCTTCATAGTTCACACAGCCTTGGACAATATGAGGTAAGGTTCTCAAATGGTATTAAGGAATGTCAGGTTGATCAATTTAAATGTTTTCATTAGTCTTATGAGTCCAAATGGTGTTCTTATATCTTCATTGGCATTCCTCTCACTTTCTATCACACATTGCCAATAGGGTGGAAAAGGGAGTGCTTCTCGTGCAAGAGCAGTTGTTTCCTCAAGTCAGTCAAACAACAAGATAGCACTAGTGCAGACAGTTACCGGATTTTTGCATGAATTGGGAGCAAGCCCTACAGATTCTGAGTGCTCAAGTTGCACAGAAGGTTGACAGTAGTTATAGATTGTGCCAAGATCAAGAGTAATCATCCAGAAAATCAGAGCCCCGAATGTAAATATTAAATATAAAAGTATAACTCTAATTGCTATAGCTGATGACCAAAGCTAGCATGTAAAGTGAAACAGTAACATCACATCTCCCCTTGGATGAAAGAAGAATATTGCCAAATTTTTTAGGGTTAAACTAATATATAATCATGTTAGCAACATCAACATGACTAATCTTCCCCACCCATCATGCATATTAACATTTAAACCCTTACACCAGTATCAATTTAAGAATTTTTCTCTCACAAAAATATTGAAATTTGAATGTTGAACTCAACCTAAATAAAGGCAAGTTCTTTCCTTTTATTATTATTAATTTTTTTATTATTATCATTATTACTATTATTATTATTTATTTATAAGTACGCAAGTCCATTCTGTTAATCAACTATAAATAAAAAAGAAATAATAAAAATGCTGCAAGTTCCGGATCTCATTATGGTATCAGTATATCACAATAGTGAATAAAAAAAAAAAAAGTGGATATCTGTTACAAAAGACAAACTGGATTAGCAAGATGCTAGCCCATAATACAATTGAAGTATACAGAGGACAACCGGTCTACATCAAAGAAAGTGAAACATCGTAAACTATTACTCATCATCTGGAGATACAAAAAATAAAATAAAATAAAATAAAGTTCCATCATCATTTGTCCATAAGAAAGTACAGGGGGGAATGCAACCCCCAAAAATAAAAACCGCAATGATTAGTGTGACTCATGTAATTTCTATTCCCAGGATGGCCGGTGAAAATTTGAGACCATCAATCATACAGTCAAATTTTTCCATGGTTGAAAACTCTTTTGTATGCTGCAAATATCTTTGAAACATTTGTGCTTAAGAATAAACCACTGAAGGATAAAGTGACACAAAAAATCCACTTGGCGTAAATGCTTTCATGATTAGTTCATGTATCGTGAATTGCACTTAAACTTTTCCTCTTCAAGCTCTCGTTTTAAAGTTTCCACCCTTTCAAGCAAGACTGCATTCTCCTGGTAGGTTGAAGGTCATTAGAAGACTTGAATAATGTTATGAAAAACAAACAAATTATGCGTGCCCAAAGAGAGCCGAAAATAATTTCATCCAACGTCATATTAATAAGGATATTGAAAATTCTACTGAATCAAAGTTAATTTCATTATTAATTCGTCAAGAACAGCATTTAAAAGCTTATAAAATAGGCAATAACTTGAACAAATGGGCTTATAAAAGGGTTGCTGGAAAACAAGATGATGGAAAAGGGTGACATAGAGCTCCCAACTTTAGGGAACTCCGCAGCTGAAAAGATGCGGAAAGGTCACGGAGAATGAACTGTTTTGATACCATATTAGAAGTTCTATGGAATCAAAGTAAATTTATTGGAGAGGTGTCTAGATATAAATTCACAAATACAAGTCGATGAATTCATTTGATCGAAACAACTAACAGATAAAAAGATAGAAATAGGTTGCAAATAAAATTTGATACTTCAAAATTTGGTGACTGATTACAGTTAGGCTCTGCATTGTGTCTCTTGACACAATTAGCAGTTCACAGTGTGGCTATCCTTCAATAACTTTATTCTTGTTTCCCTAAATTGGAGAAATGAATAGAAGAATTATCATAGGGAAGCATTTGATTAATATTTTATGATGACATATACCTTTTGCAGTATCGCCAATTTATGGTTAATCCCAGAAGAAGCATCCCCCATCTTCTTAGAGGACTCCTGAAACTGCCACAAATGCAATTATACAGTCATTATGGGATAGACAAAAGGAACAATTTGTTATTTTATTGGTTGAATAAATAAATATTGATTTCTACAATTCTGTTTTTTCTTGGTGCAGATATATCATACATACCCCATTCCTACCAACTGAAATTAGGAAGGGTTAGGTGTCCTACCAACCATAGTAGCACAAAATTTGAAGCTGAGTCTTTCTTATCATTCAGTTAGGAAGGTAGAAAGTAAAAATCCAAAGAAGAGAATACATACCACTTGAAGTTCATGTAAACATTTTTTTGCCCTATCTACCTCCTCATCATACTTTAGCCTCCACTCAGCAGATTCATCCATTGCCTCCCTGTTAGCAATATCAAATTGTCTTCTGCAAACAGTTGAGTGAACCAAACACAATCATCATAGAAGCTAGAATAAACTAACCCTATAAGGCAGCCAATATAATGGTAAAATACAAATTCAAGCATCCCAGCAGTCACAGAAGAACAATACTTCTTTTAGCAGTGTCAATTCAAACCATGAGAATTGTAGGGAACTTTTTTTGCACTATGCAGACATGGGAATTGAAATATCTGTGCTATCCCCTGAATGATAGCCCTCAATTGGTTTGATCAAAATTCGGAGAAATACGACAAGTACATGCAATTTATGAGATTTATTTGTGCTTCATATGATGGGTATATAACTTTAAATTAAAATCAGCAAGGCTTTGCAGAAAATAAACCAAAAAATGAACAAAACAAGGGATCTTTTCATTGTTTTCAAAATAAAAAACAAATAGACTCACAAGAGTTCAACACAAGCAGAATGAACATAACCTCTAATTATTAAAAAACAATTTTTTTTTCCCATTAACAGAAGAAAAATGAAAGATTATAAAGAAGGGGAACCTTAAGAGCTCAGTGTCATCAGAAGAAATATTGTAGTCAATAGCCCAAAGCCTGAAATAGACTGCAATACCCATTAACATTAGAAAAGCCATACACACTAAGATTGACCTTCTCTTCCCTCCCACCATTTCTCTCTCCTCCGTTCTTTCTTCCTCACTCTCTGATTTTGTTCTCCTCTTTTTCTAATAACGTTGTTGGGGTCCCAACAACAAACGTTGTCTGTGACTGTGAGAGACAGTCACCTGTTAAATCATGCTTCTGGATCTATTTGATCCAACCTCCTTTTTTTTTTTTTTAAGAGTAAACACTTTTTGAGATAATATCTACGAAATTCTTTTTAGTACCCGGCAATATTAAATTGGTCTCTAACAGTATGTAAAAAGGGCTACGTTAGTGACGGAGGAGTTGACATAAGGACTAATGTGGCCCTTTTTCATAATTTTAGAGATCAATTTGGTCCTTTTTTATTGTCAGAGACCAAAAAAAATTTCGTAGATATTGACAGAGACCAAAATAGGTGTTTACTTTTTTTTAATTACTAAATGCCTTTGTTTGGTGTCAGGGAATATATTGGGCCTGTATGGGTTTGTCAGAGTGATGACCCTTGAAAATGAAGCCTACCATACATGGCCCATGTAACAATGACATACAAGAGCCTACAATTTCAGCCAAAAAAATAAATCCAATTCATAATTTTGGTTGGGTTATGTTATTTAGTCCAACATGCTTGTTCCCTAATTGGGATTTTTTGAGTTTGAACTCGAAATAGTAACCCCTGTTCCCTAATAGACAGAGATTTTTTTTTTATCTATATTTCTTTTTTGTCAAAATATATATTTTAAAGAAAATTAATTTTTTTCATTTTTGTAATTTTAAAAATTAAAATATATTGATTATTTTTTGTTTAATTTTTACCTATTCATATCATTAATAAAAAAGCAGTGTAGAGTGTGCAATTTTAAAAATTTTTATAGAAAAAAAATGGTATTAATGTTTCTCTTGGAAAATGAGAATAATTTTATCTCTTACATGAAAATGGATAGAGTCCGATAAAAAGATGAGAGAGAAAAAAATGAGTTCACTCTCGTCAGTTTCATATAAGTACATGAAAGTTATCTCTATTTTACAGGAGAAATATGCTGAATTTTTTTTTTTTTTTTTTTATGCAAATGAAACTGTATTTTCTTATAACTAGCACCACGTAAGTTTAGGTGCTTCATTTATCGGTATGCTATTAACTGATGAAAGCCCAAAATGATACATTGCTTTTCAGTTACGTACGACTCTAATCCAAAGCAAAAAATTCAAATATCAAACCTAAGAAACTTCTGTTGGTTCATACAAATATATATTCTGTACCAAAAAACGAAGGGTATTATCTCTTATTCTGTCCCACTAGTCATGCTCATGACCTGAGAAGCTGTGTTGTAGAGGCGGATGAGGCGGAAGGCTTGGTGTGGTCTAACTCTTAGGTTGAAATATAATATTACGCTTTAGATGCTTTTTTATAAAAAAAACTTACAATTATATATGCAAGTGCAGTACGAATTTTATCAAATAGTAGTACTTCAGTTGGTGCATGAGAGCTAAACAGGTGAGGATGAGAGCATTATTTGAATCTCTTCAGTACCACCTTTGGGAGGAGTTTAAAATCTTAATCCTAGACTTGTCCTGAATCGGATTAGTTGCGAAACAATGAACTGTTTGAAATATTTAAAAAAAGAAAAGAAAAGTGAGTAAGAATTTTGAACTAAAATTTTATAGATTAGTACAATGTTTTTGTAATATTTAAAGGCAACAATGGGTAATTTCATATAAATTGTTAAAACCTTTAGGTAACCTTGGATTTCAGAGTTCCGATGATCTGCCTCATCGCAAAGGTTCGTCGGTTTTCAATGCAGTTTATGACTTTTTTATCATAACATTGACAATATTATTCAATTTTTTTAGATAAATACATTATTTTCGTAATTTTAACCAGAGTGTGATGAAGACCAAAAGTCGCCCCCCCCCCCCCCAACCAAAAAAAAGATCTATCTTAAAGAATTGAATTTTCGACTTTAGTAGATTATTTGAGTAGATTATTCAAATATGTAATATTGGATGTCCCATCTAAGTTGGTGGAATAAGGAGTTATATAGCCCATGCATGTATGAAAACAAAACCGTAGGAGCACATCAAATCAAGGAGCTGCAAGCGCCCCTCGTTTGATGCTCAATAATCAATTCCACAGTCCTTCGAATACTACCTTTGCTGCCAAATCAGCTTAATTCCTTCATTTGTCAAACTCGGATATGGACACAAAACATAACCTTAGGAATTTTTTTTATCTTTTCAATATTATCCTGGAAAAGTAGCCTTATATGCCTTTTATAACTTTTGCACTTTAATTTGATATTGAGAATCATTTCGGCACCATATATAATTGGGAAAAGTGTGTATAATTTTGAAGGATGTAAAGTTGTGTCATTTTAAGAGAGAGAAAGAGATAGATAAAGAAGGAGAGAGAGTTGACAAAAAAAATAAAGTTGTGGGTCCCACCTCTTTGTGAGAGTGAAAGGATGTAAGTTGTGTAAAATTTAAAAGTACAGACATTTTTCCCTATATAATTTATAGTTTGCATCATAATAATGATCAAAACAATTAATGGAACCTATAGGGATTCTCTTTTGTCCCAATATATATTATCACTAAGACTACAAAAGAATAATACAGATAGGGCCGGCAAAATACGTTGGGCCCGGCCAATCCGTCTCGCCCGTAAATATGGCGAGGTAGTTTATACTTTACAACTCGTCTAACCCGCCCCACATAAGTGCGGGTCAAAAGTGGGTTGAACCCACCATCGGACGGGCTAGCCCACATAAATCTTTTTTTTTATAGTACATAAACTTTTATATCAAAACCTAACCCCTAACATTATGTAATTTCTATGGCTTTTGATACGGTCCCCGTATATGTTAGGTCTAGGTCCAGTAGAAGTAAGGCTTAAAAGGCCTAAGCCACCGTTAGCGACATAATCACAAAAGACGACATATCCATTAATACAAACTATCTCGCCATGAAGATAAGAATCTTGCTAAATACTTGGCCATCAAGCTTACATAACTTAAACTACAAGGAATCATCATTGTTGGAATCAGCAGCTCAGATAAGTTGGCAACCATCAGAAACCAGTGAAGGGTTGGCAGCTCCAGCTTGCCGCCATTGACCATAAAGTGGTCTACTTTGAACATAGGCTTACTCATTAAGGAAAAACATGAGAGAGGTCACCCTTCTCCGCCAAATAACCAGAACACCGCCTTATGACAGACAGTGAAAAACATGACACTCAGGTACTATAACATTAACCCAGGTAAGATCTCTCGCTTTTGTACTTGAACCTCCTAGAATACTAAACTGACTTGAGCGAGGGAGTGCCTTTATAGGTACCCAGCCCAGTCGCTCTCATTCAACTCAGATAAGAAAAAGTATTATCCAGACATCTCGCAACATACAAACACATCCCGCCTGGACCCCAAGCATCCTGGTAGCATCACAATATCAATCCTTCTCTTCGTCAACATTTCAATTAGTGTTGGACTGATCATTGGCGCCATTTGTGGGGTCAATAAATTTTGAATCCCACTTCATAAAAATTCAAAATATGGTTGATACCAGAAGCAAATCTCAAAGCCAGAATGTTTCCAGAGGAAGGAAGAACGAATGACGGTCATCTCAACAAAGAACTACTTATTTTGTAGCTCCAAATTCACCCCGGCAAAATTCTCCAACACATCAACAAATACTAAAGCTCCTGCAATAACAAACTCAGAAAATTAAGAAAAAAACAAAAAGAATTGCAGAAAATGAAAAAATCTCAGGAGAAAAAACAAAAAGAGCCTGTTTTACATGAAAAATCTGATCAAAACGCGCAAGAATTCTCCCCAAAAGACCTTGACCCATCAAATAAAGAGAAAAAGAAAATCAAGGCTCATGAGAATTCTTATCAAAACAAGAATTCAAAAGCAGTTTCTAGGGTGGCTCACTATTTTACCCCCCAGATCATGGACCTGCCCATTCCTAGGGATATCAAGGTTATCACTGAAAAGTATAATGGTAAAGGTGATCTTCAAGAACACTTGAAACAATTCCAGACGAATATGATGGCTCATGATGTCCCTGATGTTGTAGGATGTCGTCTCTTCCCAACAATGTCAAAGGAAGTTGCTTTCAGATGGTATTCAACTTTGCCTTCCAATTTAATCAACAATTAGGGAGATCTCGCCAATTAATTCTTGGTGTGATTTGCAATGAGTAAAGCTAAATACAAATCCACCCCCGCGCTCAAAACTGTCAAATAAGGTATTAATGAAACTCTGCATGATTATCTTAATAGATTTTTTGATGAATCCTTGTTGGTAAGTGATCTTGACCCATAAGTGTCTTTACAACTTATTACCGATGGTCTGCAGAATGGACCATTTTTCACCTCTTTAGCTAAACAAAGACCAAAAACAATTGAAGAGTTGCGAGCGAGATTTGAGAAGTTTATCAATCTTGAAGACTATAAACGATCTCGCGATGGCCCAAGTGAAAAACTTTGGATCAGGGAATTTAAGAAAGATTTTCAGAAGGACTTTCAAAGAAGGCTTAAGGAGAAGAAAAAATGGGAGAAATTTGTAAATTACACACCTCTTAATGCTTCTCGATCCCGCATTCTTATAGAAGTCTTTCACACTGGCCTAGTCAATGTCGCACAACCCCCTCCACTTAAGAGGTACGGTAAACACGATGAGACAAAATTTTGTGAATTTTATGATGACGTAGGCCATTCAACTGAAGACTACTATCATCTTAAAATTACGATTGAAACCTTGATTAGAGAAGATAAGCTCAAAGAGGTTATCGCTACATGCAAAAATGATAAAATTCAAATGAAGTGAGATAGAAGTCCTGATCAGGATAGGAATCCTCCCAGAAGAAATTATCTGAATAGAAGGAATTACAGACAAACTAATCGACAAAATGATACACCTACCAATTATGGGCGCTATGACAAACCAAGGGAAAGATCTCCACATGAAAAGAGATGAAATCAACAAATGGCAGCATAAGAACATAACCAACCTCAATTACCCAATAATGTCGCAGGAGTATTGGGAACTATTTTTAATGGTGTTGCTTGAAGAGAAGA